ACTTCGCGCTGTGGATCGCCAGATCGGCTTTCACCGTGGACGAAGCGGAGTTCAGCCCGGGGTCGTCACATGTGGTTGCCGCAAGCCCGCCGGACGCTCCTTCATCGAATCCGCCGGCCGCACCGTTTTCAAGCCCGCCTGCCACCGCTTACTCTAGCCCTCCGGCCTCCGCTCACTCTAGCCCGCCTTGTGTTTCGTTGTGAAAGCGAAACTACTTTGTTCGGTCTTACAAAAGAGGACACGACTAGAAATCAATGGTTAAGTTGTATTTACAACACTGTTCCAGAACAGTTCAACCCAAATATTAATTTGTGTGCAGCACATTTTATGGAGGACTGTTTCCTGATCCTGGTAGAGTAGACTACAATGCCAGCTGTTCTGATTCACAGACTGTAAGTACGTTTTAATTTAAAGAATTTGCCACTGATGATTCAAACACGAGTTTTGAGCAGTGTAGAGTAGCGCTTGTTGTTTGTCATTTCTCCGATCACAAATGCAGACATGGTTTTATGTTACATGGCACGATGCAACGCAGTGTATAAAAAGACAGTATAAGTCATTATAAGCCGTAATTATGTCCCCACTGGATGCAACAAATGCCTCGTTTATAATGGGTTTTCATGTTTTTCATATGACCCCTTTAACACTGTTGCCGCGGGCTGTTTTTCATGTCTGCGGGTTGAAGCGACCCCAATAACGTGATATTTAGCCCCTGGAATGCGAATTTTACTGGAGGATCATGCAACTGTACATGTCTGTAACTAGGCAGATAAACGCATGCAGTCACTTCAGAATTAACTTTAAACAACTGCTTTTTCACCAAAGACAATACTATAATTTAAGCTTGAACGATAAATCATAATATAATGTAAGCAATAAGCACATTATATTCTATATTTATGTATAATAGTATCTTTTAGATTGCATGGTAAATGATTCATTCATTACAACATATTTCCAAATTATGCCGACACACACTCTGATTAAGATTTCAGTATTTAGTCTTTCAAACTGACTAATATTAAGTTTTTATTTTTTTTCAATTATTTATTTTCAATTCCTTCAACTTTGAAGTGCCCTGTAAATTGCATTAATAATATCTACCTTTTACCTTTGTTCATTGTTACTGTTAATATTATAAATGTTAATATTAATTATTTCTTTTGTTTTTATTTGCTCAAAGTTTGATAAACTGATCCATTATTTGCAGGTGAGGTCTGTAGAAAATGTTGAAATTGTTTTAGTGCTTGTGCTAGAGTCATAGTTAAAAGCTATGTTTTGTCTGCAATAAAATGAAAAAGAAACACACACACACAATAGGCCTACTTTATTATTTTATAATATAGTGCGCATTGAGTCAGCCTAATTGCTGCTGCGGTAAAGTACAAAAAAATGCTTGAAATAATTCATAGCATATAATTCATAGTCATAGCAGCTTATTAGTCACAAGCCTCTTTAGTCAAAGTGCTCATCAAATATCAAAGTCAATTCATTACCAGTGTTTTGAAAGTAAAACACACACACACACACACACACACACACACTGAAGGCAGTAATGAATGCTGATCAAAAGCTTGACTTTACTTTAGTGACATCAAAATGTTCTGTTTAATTAAATCTGAAATACGCTAGAATTTGTTCTCTAGAATATGCACTTTTAACATGAACTTTACTGTTAGAAATACAACCATATCTGACGGGTTTGGTTACTTGTCTCTCTCTCACTCTTTACAGTAAATATGGGTATGGGTGTTTTTTAAATCAGGATAGGTTAAAAGGAATTATTCTTATAATCTTTATCAGAACAGATTTGGAGAAATTCAGCATTACATCACTTGCTCACCAATGGATTCCCTGCTGTGAATGGGTGCCGTCAGAATGAGAGTCCAAACAGCTGATAAAAACATAATAATAATAATAATAACAACACAATAATCCACAAGCAATCCACATGAATCCAGTCCATCAATTGATGCCTTGTAAAGCAAAACACTGTTGTCTCGTCTGAATCCTGCAACAGGGGATGGACTTCTTCACAGGTGCAAGCATTACTATGGATTATAGACTTGTATTTTAAAGTAAAAATGCCTTAATGATGGATTTTTTTTCTTATAAGCTGTTTTTCGCTTCACATGACATTAATTGATGGACTGAAGTCATGTGGATTACTTGTAGATTATTGTGATGTTTTTATCAGCTGTTTGGACTCTCATTCTGACGGCACCCATTCACTGCATAAGATCGATTGATGAGCAAGTGATGTAATGCTACATTTCTCCAAATCTGTTCTGATAACAAAACAAATTCATCTGCATCATCTACATCTTAATATGCATTATACAGAAAATAGAAAATTCAGTTTAAAATCATTTTATATAGAATATTTATCACACTGCAGTGCTCCTTTATCACTTCCATGCCAAATATAATCATAGATTATATTAATATGCTTAAAACCTTATGGGCATTAAATCACAAGGCTGTTTTGGTAATGCCACTGACCTCAAAAATATTAATTAGCCGAAATGAAGAAAAATTATGTCAAGTGTTTGTTTGGCGCGTAATTGAATGTATGGCTGAATGCCTGACGTGCGTGAACACAGGTACCGGTAGTCACATTGGAGTCATCAGTAATAATTTAACACTGTAATAACACTGTGCCTTGTGCGTCAGCGCTCAACTGCAGGAGACAAACACCTTTTCAAATAACACACTAAACAGTCGCATTAGGTTTCTAAGGTAGGATTACATTTACAATGGCTGATAACCTTAATTGCAGCAGGGGTAACTGCTCCAGCGCGCAGGAAGCGTTTGGTTTATCCGAGGGACACTTTGCGCTCGTGAAAGCTGCAGTTCTTGGGTGCATTTTCGTGCTGGCATCATTTAGCAATTTATTCCTCCTCCATGCCCTTTGGAAAAGACGGAAAAGACGTACTCGAACTCAGCTGTTTCTTCTGCACCTGTGCCTGGCTGACCTGGTGGTCGCTTTCTTCCAAGTCCTGCCGCAGTTATCCATGGAGATTACGCACCTGTTCAAAGGCTCAGATCTGGTGTGCAGAGCAGTTAAGTATCTTCAAGTGGTCGGGATGTTCGCGTCCACGTATATGATCGTGGCCATGACCATAGATCGCTATCACGCGGTCTGCAAACCCATTGCGTCGTTCTTCAGGGGGTCTTTCCGCAGGTATGTTGCCATAAGCGCAGCATGGCTCATCTCCCTGGCGTTCAGCGCTCCGCAGATGTTCATCTTCTCTCTCCAAGAAGTTGAGAAGAATGTTTTCGACTGCTGGGCGACATTTATTGAGCCCTGGGGAGGCAGAATATACATAACGTGGATCACTCTATCCGTGTTTGTTCTGCCAGCCGTAATCTTGATGTATTGTCAGATAAAGATTTGCGCAGGGATCTATTTCAACATGAAGAGGAAAGCCTTGCAGGGCAGCACGGGTGATGGGCGCTCCAGCTCTAAAGGGATATCAAGCGCAATTATGAAGACTGTCAAAATGACTTTCATTATCATCCTGGTGTACACCCTCTGCTGGAGCCCATTCTTCGTGGTCCAGCTCTGGTCAGCTTGGAGTCCAAGCAGTGCGCCCACGCAAGGTAAGTCAAAGTAGCTTGACTTAGTAAAACATTTTTCGATACAAATTATATTATCAGTTTAACAATGAGTGTAAAAATGCACTGAAAAACAAGACGGCAAGCAAGAACTCCACTGGTTTGTGTAAAACTTGATAATCATGTTTTCAATATTATATTTGTAAATATATAAGACACATTTCCCCCCATTATTTTTCTAAAACCTTTCTTTTTATGTTCAGGTTTAAATGCATTTAAAAAAATATGAACTATTTTTAATAAGGAACTGTTTTTTGAATGACAGGTTTTGTCCTCATCTGTCCACAAATCAGCAAATATTACATATAAAAGTGCAGAATCTTTAATACTTTTAAATACGGTCATAAAATATTCATAAATATTTCTACATATTTTTTTTTAATCCTTTCATTGTATAATCAAATTTAAAAAGCATACAAATGTAGAAATATGTTAATAAGGAACTGTTTTTATATGATACACTATATTTAGACAACGATGAATAAAATAATGCCCCCTATCAAATAATAAAAAAAAAATAAAAACGTTTGTCTCCATATACTGGTATATAACCACATGGTTACAGTGTGGTAGGTAATATTTAACTCTTATGATAATAGATGTGACTAAAGGCCCATTAATGTGTATAAGACATCATATATGTGTATATGATTACTCACAACCATTTTCTGTTGTGGGAATTATCTGTCTCGCCACTTGTCAGTAATTCAAATTTATACAATACAAATTCAAATAGTTTTGTCATATTATAAGCTCCATAGTCTCCCCTCAGCTGCAGATAGCAGATACACATTGGCATTAGTAAAACATTCATTAGTAGCTGACAAAAGACCTGATCAGATTAAACCAAATCATGTGTAGACAGATGGTGCACACAGGCAATATTTTTGCACAGAGAACACAATAGGTTTCAAGTTTGAACACTTCCTATGTGTAATTTGTTATTTTGTGTGTAATGCAGTCTCATCTGTCCTACAGGGCCAGTGTTTGTCACTATCATGCTCCTCGCCAGTCTTAACAGCTGCACAAACCCATGGATCTACCTGTACTACAGCTAGAACCTCATGGCCACTGATCACCCACCATTCCTGCTGTTTAAGAGTGCATGAATATGGTCTCAGCATACACTTAAACACCAGTTTTCCTGCTTTTTCAATAACTAAAATGATTTTGGTTATGGAAAGTTGCTGCATACTTTGGCATGGTCATTTGTTTCTATTTAAAAAAAAAAAGAAAGAAAGAAAAGAAAAAGAAATAGACTGTTTGTACCACTAAGAGGATGAAAGAGATATGTTCTCTTTCACTGTTGCATGTACAACGTTTTCAATGTAAGTGTAGATATTCACATACTGAGGTGTGAATCACATGTGATTAAAGTAATGTTATTTTCCATTCCTCATTGAAATGAAAATACAAAAGCCTGTGTATGAAAAGTTCTATAGGATTAAAATTATGTGTGATGGTTTCCATAGTCACTGTGTTGCTCTCGTACTTTCACACACACAAATTTCTTTGTACTGCAAAGCCTGCTTTCTGTGAAAGTAACTGTGTAGAGAATGCCTTCACACATTTTGAATTTCATTTGAGTACTTAAATAAAGTGAATTAAAAAGTGAATGTTCCTTTACTAAAAAAAACCCAGATTCATGCAAACTTCGGTCAAGATTTTCAGCAATCAGATTCATAATCATATTTCCCTCCAGAAATTTCTATGCTTCGATTTCCCTCTGTTCCCATAAATAATAGAGCAATATTGAATATATAATGCACCTGAATAGTTCTTCACACATTTGTACACTAAAAACTGTGTCTTTTGTGGGTTTAATTATTCTAAAAATAATGATTTTTAAATATTTATTTAGTTAGTTAGGCCATAATTGTGCACTTGTAGCATGTTTAAAAAACGGAATCCCATTTATGCACCAAAAAAGAATAGACGTCATTTGAAAAACAATTAAGTAAATTAACTCACAAAAGTGTCTTGGTTAATGTGCTTAAGTTACAATAGTAAAAACATGTTTAAAAGCATCTAACCTTTATGCAACTGCCAAATGACACAACGTAATTGATTTGCCTTTTCACTGCACAAACTCTGTTTGGATTTGAGGCAAAATGGAAGCCTAAGGCAACTGTATACAAGGTAGCTGTTGGGAAATGGAATTAGAGCATTTAGAGGCTGATAAAAAATGGTGGAGACCATTGTAGCCAAAGAGCGGGAGGGAAGGCAGAAGTGAGAATAAGACTTATCAAATACAATACGGTGTAAATTACATCATTTAGGAAATTGCCTCTGAAAAATATGAGCAATAAGATAATTAGATTGGATAATATTACAAAAACAGATTTACTTTGAAATTAAATAGACCAGCATCATAGTACACAAAGAACAGTGACGATACGGTCTGACCTCCCAAACAAGACAAAGTCCTGATACATTCAAAGAACTGCACTCGTAGATACTAATGTCATCCAAACACTTAAGAGTTATGCTGATCAATAAAATTGTACAATTTCCCTTAAAAGAAAAAATTTTAGAAGGTCACTTGAAATGTTTCAAAGACTGCATTTTGTATGTACTGCACCATTAAAACGGTTATTAAGGTACCTCACGACATAAGCACCAATCTTTTTCTCCATCAACAATTCTCCCTCAAAATTTGCATTGCTTTTTACTGTTCATAACCCTGTTATTTACTTTAGGTCACAGCCATACCAAATGAATAACTATTTTTAAGCTCCCTCTGCCAGTCTGTGAATGAACATCGCTATAACAATGAGGTGACCTCTGTCACACTGACATGCATGTGTGGAAAGAAAGACAGGCCTAATTAAATCCATTTCACACACTCACACTTCTACGAAGCCACAACACAAACACAAAACATATTTAGAAGTCTTACTGACAGGTACTAAAATAAAAAGCTTTAATATCTTATGAGTGGAGGACAACGTGTTTTTATAATTAATTCTGGTAAGCAAGTACCACATCTCATTTAGCTAACATGCAGTTTGACATTATACCTATATTTAAAAGCTTTATACGGCACCACTGCTGATTTTATTTGGATTCACAGACTTTTTTGTCGGCTGGACCTCTGTGATGTAAAATATTTACTTATTTAATATTTCAATAATAAAGTTAATATTTCAATAATTTAACAACCTATTTGCATGTTGCATGTTCTCTGATGTTGGTTAATGATCACTTGATGTGCAGGTCAACACCTACATTTACATTTAGTCATTCAGCAGACGCTTTTATCCAAAGCGACTTACAAATGAGGACAATATAACCAATCAAAACCAAAAAAGGGCAATAATATGTAAGTGCTGTGACAAGTCTCGGTTAGCCTAACGCGGTACAAGCAAGGGTATTTATTTTTATTATTATTCTTTTTTATAATAAATAAAAAGTAATCAAGAAGATAGAATAGGAAAAGAATAGAGAATGCTAGTGTTAGAAGCTTTTTTTTTTTTTTTTTAAAGTAAACGTAGTAAGAATAGAAACAGAATAGAGAGTGAAAGTGTTAGAGGGTTTTTTAGAATTAGAATAGAGAGTGTTAGAGGGTCAAATGAAGATGGAAAAGATGTGTTTTTAGTCGTTTCTTGAAGATGGTTAAGGACTCAGCTGCTCGGATTGAGTTGGGCAGGTCATTCCACCAGGAGGGAACAGTTTATGAAAAAGTCCATTAAAGTGATTTTGTGCCTCTTTGGGATGGCACTATAATGCGCTGTTCACTTGCAGAACGCAAGCTTCTAGAGGACACATAAGTCTAAAGTAGTGAATTAAGGTAAAGGGGTGCAGAGACAGTGGTGGTTTTGTAGGCAAACCTAAAATGTAAAAAAATAATAATAATATTTTTGTATTTTAAAATTATTTAATTATTTTTTACATTTTTATTATTTAATTATTAGCTTTTCATCAATTCACAAACCCTCAGCAGTTCCCTCACGAAATAGGTTTACAAAAACCCTTATTATGGGATAGGTAATTAATGTCCATCTTTAAAAACATACAGAGTCTTCTACTTTTTGTAGTTCTCTAATCTTTTAATAAAGGTTTTTTATGTCAATGCAAATAAATAAATAAATAAATGGGGAAAAAATGTTTCCAGAACCCAGTCAACTGGGAAAAGTGAGATTCCCTTTCGAACGGTCTCTCCCGTTGCGTAACACGCTATGGGGAAACTCCTCTGAATACTGAAGCCTGATTTGTTCATGTTCGTGTAGCTGCACGAACCAATGGTGCTTCAACCCGCCAAAAAATCAAAGCCTGGACTCTGACAGTGGCCAAACGTTTGTGCTCGCTTTCCAGTTCCCCGTCTAACTCCGGGCAACGGAAGTGCTGCTCATGCTGGGCCTGTCCTTCCCACTCAGTGCGTGCCCAAGCAAATTAACGCTGTAATAGCGGACATACTTACTCAAAAGAGCAGTACCGTGAATATCAGTTCCCCGCCCATCCCTGATAATTCAACGGCTAGCAGCTTCATTCAGATTTGGGACTTCACATCTCCTCAAGAGGTTTCCAGAGGATGCTAGGCCTCATGTCAGCCCCCTCCTCTGTGATTCCTCTTGGCCTGCTTCACATGCGGCTCCTCCAATAATGGCTCAAAGTCCATGTACCATCCCACGTTTGGCACCTGGGATGTCAAGGTAACCCACCGCTGCAACAGGGCTGTGGGTCCTTTGAAAATCCCTCACCTGTTTTAGTCATCCAGAAGAAAGGTAGTCACGACAGATGCCTCCAACTTGGGTTGGGGAGGACTGTGTGAGGGCAGACTGGCGTTCGGCTCCTGGTCAAACCTGAAGCAACGCTTGCACATCAACTGCCTCGAAATGATGGCGGTTTGAGGGGGCACCACATCCTGGTCTGCTCAGACAACATGACGGTGGTAGCCTTTATAAATCACCAAGGCGGTCTCAGGTCACGCTCCCTTTACAGAATGGCTCGACGCCTCCTTTTATGGGCACAGTGCAACCTCCTCTAGCTGAGAGCAGTTCACGTGCCGGGCAGACTGAACCAAGGAGCGGACATGCTGTCCAGGGGCAATGTAGCAACAGGAGAATGGAGGCTAGGGCCCAGTCTACGAGATGCCTCTACGCCCTCAAATGGTCAGTCTTTTCTAACTGGTGTGCAGCATGGAATGAGGACATGTCCTCTTGTGACATGTCATCTGTGTTAACCTCTCTGCAAGAGCTGTAAGATAAGGGGCGCACCCCTTCCACGCTCAAAGTATATGTGGCAGCCATCGCGGCAAATCATGCTTTCATGACTGGCCACTCAGTCGGCAAAAATTACCTTGTCATTAGGTTCCTGAGGGGAGCTTGGAGCTCGTCCTCCTTGCCATCTACTTTTGCCAGATTTTATAATTTAGACATCCCTGCTCTTCAGGCATGGATTTTGTCTGCCTAATTTACCTAATCCTCTTAGAGGAGTTTATTTATTTTGAAGACCCCAGCCTGCTGGCTTGGGTCTCGTGATTGGCTCATGCCTTTTAGGAGCCCTCATTACGGGTACTCCGGGGCTGGGCTCACAGAGCGACTTCGTTCTGCACTTGCTTATAGCACGACGCTATTGGATGCGTTCTGTTCGAAAGAGAACGCTCTGGTTACTGACCTAACCTCGGTTCCCTGAGATAACGGAACAAGCGTTGCATCACCTGCCATGCTATAAGGCTGCATGTGAGTCGATGACTGTCGAAAGATTCTGATGAAGTGGCACTCAGAGCCGACTTATATAGCAGTCAGCTCCACCCCTTTTGGCAGGCTGAAGCGCCATTGGTTCGTGCAGCTAGCCTAAATGAACGTGAACAAATTAGGCTTCAGTATTCAGAATAAACAGGAGTTTCCCCATAGCTTATTACGCACCACTCGTTCCCTTATCTCAGGGAATCGAGTTTATGTCAGTGACCGGAGCGCTTTTGTTAATTCAGGAATTTTCCTCAGACCCCCCTGTCTGTCTGAGACCCAACTTTGAGAAATGTTAGAATGCACTCCTTATTGTAAATGACCAAAATGTAAACGTTACCACACTATTACCTCGACCTCCTTATTGCCTA